GACAGCATCTTTAAATTCCTGATTAGATATTTTCCATCCTTTAAATGAAAAGAGCACAGTAAATAAAGTTTATTGATTTTGGTTATTTCTTAATATTTACAGTAACTTTATAAATCTGGGTAAACTTGCAATTTGTCATAATACCAATTTATGTGTTTTTATTTTATACTCCACTTTGAGGTTATACTGCATTTTTTGCAGATAGTGTTTGAAATGAGAACCATTTAGTTTCTTTTTAATGCTTATCTCTTTAAACAGACTCAACTAACATTTTTATTTATTTATTTATAAAAGAAAATAGCAATGAACTGCCATTCTTAAAATTATATTGTACCCTTACCTCTGCACAACAAAAGGGAGTGTTTTTTAACGATGTGCTCCGACTCACATCAGGTTGGCAGAGGTAAGGATAGGTAGGTTAACAGATTTTGGACATTTAACTCGTAGGACAATTCAACATGTAACAGAAAATAGTACTTATTGTACATGGAACATAGAACACGGAAAGGATCATGCTCGTCATTATTCGTCTTACAAACGTTAAGGGCTATTGGACGAAAATGACGAGAAGGCCTTACGGGGACTGCGAGACGTAATTTGCATTTATTAAGCAAAAACGTGGAGCAAATTTGACCATTGAGTAGCTTAAGTATAAAGATAACGCCGTGGCAGGTTCGACGATCCTTTAGGGTGGGAAGGCTTAAAAGTCTTAGCCTGTCGGCATAAGATGGAAGATGACGATGTGGATCCCAGTGTAATCCACGTAGAGCGAACAAAAGGAATTGTTTCTGAACAGATTCAATAAGGTCTTGATACTTCGCATATTGAGGTGACCACACACACGAACCATATTCAAGAATAGGGCGAACGAGTGAGATATAAAGAAGTTTTGATGTGTAAGGATCATCAAACTCCTTTGACCATCGCTTAACAAAGGCGAAAACCCCTCGAGCTTTACTAATAATTTAATTTTAATTTAACTCACTATTTGGTACGCCATCGGCACCATGATACAATTATACAAGTTAGTCTCTCCGAAATAGTCTGGTACCTCTACAGTCATAGCAATGAGTGCGAGTGAGAGAAGCTCAACCAGTAAGTGAGTATGAAACGACAAGTGAATGTGTTGATTACTATATTTTTACATTTTCCTCAACACGATGGAAGTTGTAGAATGCATCAGAACCTGGATCGTCGCAGTGCTAACGGGTAGACGGAAGTAGTGAAGGATTAAAAGATGTACCGTACGCAGGCGACGAAGTCCTACTGTCTTTTCGACTATTGTCCGACGTGCCTGTGGATTGGCCATTAATACCGGTAAAACGTAGCTTATTCTTTTCACAAGAATAACAAAGATCCCCAAATAATAAAAACTTCAGATAGAAGGTATAGATCTAGAACTGTCGCAACAAGCAAAGTGTATGGGAATAATATTAGTCGCAAATGTGACATGGAAACAAAACATCAACGAAAAGCTCAAGAAAGCAAGCATAGCATTCTAATAATGTAGGAAATTGTTCGGGAAAAACTAGGGCATCCACCCCAAGTTTTAATATAATAACATATGAAGCTCTAGGATGGTGGCCAGCATTCGCTTAGGCCTACAACATCCAGACACTTACAAGGATTCAGAGATTATGCCTCCCAGGAGCGCTGAATGTCTTTCTAAACATAATCCCAATAAAATATTTCATCAGAAACACAGAAGTCCAAAGCGCAGTACGACTGAAGGCCAGCCAGACCTGGAAGAACATATACAACGAAATACCCAATGTTAGGGGGGCGATCCTGCCCGCAAAGAGTCCTTATCGGAGGCCAAATATTTCCCACGTCGTTGGCGAAAGAATGTACCCGTCAGGGTTGAAAATACAAAGGTGTGGGCGTCTTGGTATATAGTTCAGCGTCAGCTTTTATTCGCTGCTTACAAGACTGAAACTTAACTTAGAACCGAGCTCCCGGTCGCTTTGCACCGTTAAAGCGAGAGCGGGAGGTTGGCAATAGTTGGGGTGCGAGAGCAAGTCGGGGACAGAAAGCTCGCTCCTGAGCAGTAGCGGCACAGTGGGCCCCTCACGTAAACATCCTGCCTCCCCTTGCAATCGCTCGGGTTGCAACAGGGTCGTTGCAGCTATGGCTGATGGCAGGCTCTAGACACGACCCAACCGAAAACGGTGCTTTGGGCCACTTGTAGTCCATCCTGGATCTTCAGGAAGCCTGGCTGCATCACTCTCGAATACATATCCGCGCCTAGGACGACGGAGATGGTCGCCGGTAGATGGAAATCCTCGTCGACCAGAGTGATGTCGCGGAAGTGGGCCCGCATCGTCTCGCTTAGCTCCCGGAATGGAGTGCGGAAGCGCGGGAAGTGGCGGAGGCCGTCCGAGGAGCGGCTGCAGATTGCCGAGAAGGGGCGCGGAGCCAGTGGTCGCTTGGGTAGGTGAAGCAGTGTGTGATGGTCCTGGCCACACGTTTTGCAGCAGTCCCCTCGCTGAAACGCTCCGTCCGAATACTCATACGCGGAGACATCGTGCTGGGTATGACACATTCATCCCTCAGGGTAGTGTCTCCCTGATCTGCTTCCAGGACGATACGTGTCGTGCCTTCCTCTATCTCCCAGAATTTCGCGAGGAGCTGATCAAGCGACTCGTCGTGGCCGCAAGCCACTCGTGTGGAGAAGGCACTCACACTGCGGGAAGTAGCAGGAGACAGAGGGCCTGTCAGCACCCATCCGAAAATAGTCTCTTGTCCGAGAAGCGACCCGCATATGTTAGTTTTGGAGTTGCCAAGGAGGACAGACGGAAGAAAATCGGATCCTATTAATACGTCAATTTGGAAGCTCTAGAAGAACTTGGGATCTGCCAAGGGGACGTCGGGAAGCCCATGTAGAAGGTCTCGCAGAATCAGAAACGAGGGCAGATTGCCAGCCAGCTGCGGAATCCATATGCTGCAGTCTCTAATTGTAGCCCGGGTCTGGCAGGTGACCGAATTGAAAAGTGGCACAATTTAGTAGACTGCACAGAAAAGGACTGATTAAGACCGGAGATTTGGACTTGAATGGTCTTAAACGGGAGCTTAATCAGGTTGAACAGCCGTTCTATGATGAAGGTCGCCTCGGACCATGAGTCTATTAAGGCTCGTGCTTGAAAGCTGCACCCGAGATGACAAACGGAGAGATCGCACCCCTTGGGGGCAGGAACTACTCGGGTCTCGTACGAATTGAGCCTGTGAATTGGGGCGCTCGTGGGTGCCGATCTTGGCGGAACTGTCCCCGAACCGCTAGGCCTGACGCCGCCAATGGCCTTCAGGGTGCGATGACGCTCTGTCAAAAAAACATTTAACTCCCTCCATGTTGGAATTTCGGCTTTGTTGTGTATAGATTGATCCCACAGCGAAAATGTATTGTTGGGACACTGCTAGCCGCCAGAGCTGACTGAGAGGCGGCTTGTGATATTGTTTCCTCAAGGTTAGCAACACACCTCGAATAAACAGAATAACAGTAGCTGTACTTTGACTCCAGCACTGTCGAGGTGGCCTTGCCGTCGTCGGACGCGGACAGCAGTTCGAAGCAGCTCTCACAACTTTCTCCACCTATTCCCACAGGGCCCTGATTTGGTCCCTATGGATTTGACACATGAAGGGGGAGAATTGTTCAGTCTCCGGGGTGCCCGGCGCCTCGAATTCGCCTCTAATTGACTAACGCGGTCTGTGGTGGCAATAAACCGCTTGAGAGCGACATCTATCGCATTCTGCGCCATTTTGACAACTGACCGAGTAACTCTAGGCGAGGATCCAGGTAGTGAATCAATGGATTTGTCGCTTTTTGCCTTTGAAATGGCGACGGTAGCCCTTGGCTTCAGTTGAGACTGTTGCGGAGATGCGGATTGGGACCTATCCAAGCGGATGGAGGGGATCGGACGCGATTCTTGTCGTCTCCCGTGGGCATTCTCGGTCAAACGGTCTCACTAATGCACTATCTGGATCAGCAAACAAAATGGAGAGATGATGGACGAAATTTATATGGAACTCGAGATAGGGGTTTAGGGAATGCGTACGACGAACAAGCGGAATAGAGCTCACAGAAGGCTGGAGGATACGAATGGAGCCAAAAAAAAAAAAAAGCAGCCGAATGGGTTTACTGGGCGTAGATACGTAATTATTGTTATTTATTAAGATGGGGACTTAATCGCGGTCTTGGTTGTGGAGACCGGTTATATTTGAGCCCAAGCGGCTAATTGCTGATCGACTTGCTGAGGGTATTGAATTTAGATGCTGGTGATACTGGGACTTGTCTAACACTTGGTTAACAATTCGAATGTCAGCAATCACAAGGCGCAGGTGTTTAATTGTTCCAAGCCGAGGAGCTGGACTGAAAAGCTCGGTTCATGGTCTCGGAGAAAAGCTCGCTGTGTTATGCCGACGGCGAGCGGTGCCTATTTGATGGCCAACAAATTAAGCGGCAACAATGTCATCAACAGCAAGCCGCAAATGATGAATTTTTCCGAGCCGAAGGGCTGGACTTAAAAGCTCGGTACTTGGTCGCGAGGAAAAGCTCGCTGCGTTATACCGACGGCAAGCGGTGCCTATGTGAGGGCCCCAAGACACAAAATAACAACAACAACAACACGACCTCTGTGGCGGCGAAATTGTAAACAATTAAAACACTTGCGTTTGCGTTTGGGTTTTGTTTCTAATTGTTTCGTTCACTTTGAGCGCCGAGCGTCGAGTGGAGCGTCGAGAAGTGGACTGTAGTAAATTCCGCGAACAGAAATATGTTGTATGGACACGGCACAAAAGACGACAAAAAAAAATTCGCGGCAACGGCGGACTGTTCGGCAAACAAAGTGAACTCCCGAAACAAGTGCACACCGGCATTCGTGTGTGTGTGTGTGTGTGTGTGTATGCAGCTGTACATAGGCCTCGACCGTTAGCAAGTTGATGGGCAACGGGCAATGGAAGAAACGGCGAGAAACTTTGAAAACCGATGAAAATTTTCGAGGAACGGAGGCGAATAGAAATTGGAGTTCCTCAGCTGCCTTGGGGT